CCCCCCGCTCCGCCGCCTCCCCCGCACCGTCTGAGCGCTCCCCCGCGGCTCGAGCGCCCGCCCAGTGCCCCCTCCGCCCCGACAGCCCCCCCCCATCTCCGCCCCCTCCCCCACGCGTCTCAGCGCCCCCCACGGCTCCAGCGCTCGCCCAGCGCCCCCTCCGCCCCGCCCACTTTATTTCGGCACACGCGCCCCCCCCCCTGTCCACGCTTCCCAGGGTAGCCCCCCTGGGCCACGGAACCCTTTATTTTCGTCGTTCGTCGTGTCGTTCGTCCCCCCCCCCCTGTCCACGCTTCCCAGGGTAGCCCCCCTGGGCCACTTTTATTTCCGTGTCGTGTCGTGTCGTGTCGTTCGTCCCCCTGCCCCCCCCCCTCTGCCCCCCCCCGCCCAGGCTTCCCAGGGCAGCCCCCCTGAGCCTCGGACACCTTTGTGCAAGAGCCAGGGCACGCGTGCCACTTGTTCAGAAGCCGCGCCCACGTCACTCAGGAATCACGCTCTCGCTTTGGCCTGTTTCACGATTTACTTCGGAATGGCGCTATGGCTCGAGACTTTCTCGCGATTCATGCAGGACGCACGCTTGAGCAACCCGCCTGCTCGACCTGGCCGCCTGGGCCCGCGTTCCCGACCCGCCTGTTAGGGTCTACCCGCCCGATCTGCCCGTCTGGTTCTGCCGCGTGCTTTCTGGTCCTAGCCCCTCTCCTGCTACTGTGTTACTCTCTCGTGCTCCATCCTCTTCCCTCCCCCTAGTCCCTTCATTCCGTCCGTCCTCTCTTCGCATGCCGTAGGGGCTGCGCGAAATACACGTTGCAGGTAAGACAGATATACCCCCAAGGTGGTACGATCGAAGACGAAGAGGGCGTGTATCGAGTGTTTGGGATATAGATGTTGTAAGGCACGCGAGCAGATGAGAGCGAAGACTCTTAAAGTGTTTGCTGCTGTTTATGTAGTTGTTGTTGCTGTTGTTGAGCACTTCTAAAAAATAAGTGTTGTTGATCCCCCCTCCGGTAACCAATGTATGTTTCATATAACGTGCTTCCCCCGGGGCTCGCACCTAACTTTTTACAGGGGAACGCGAGTGGTCAACAAACTGTGTTTTGGCCTCCGGTTTAGAACAACAGCGGGTCCCGCCTGATCCTTCCCCACGCTGTATTCCCAAATTGCGCTCTCGCGTGGGACGTCCTCACAAGTTACACAAGGTTCGCGCTCTCACGTGCGACTTGCTTGCAATTTATTCAGACGCAGCGCCCTCGATTCTCAGGAACCACGCTCTCGCTGTGAATTGTCCCATGATTTACTTCGGAATGGCGCTATGGCTCGAGACTTCTTCGCGATTCATGCAGGACGCACGCTTGAGCAACCCGCCTGCTCGACCTGGCCGCCTGGGCCCGCCTTCCCGACCCGCCTGTTAGGGTCTACCCGCCCGATCTGCCCGTCTGGTTCTGCCACGTGCTTTCTGGTCCTAGCCCCCTCCTGTTACTGTCTCTCGTGCTCCATCCTCCTCTCTCCCCCTAGTCCCTTCCTTGCATCCGTCCTCTCTTCGCCTGCCGTAGGGGCTGCACGAAATACACGTTGCAGGTGAGATAGATGTACCCCAAAGGTGGCACGATCGAAGACGAACAGGGCGGGTATCGAGGGTTTGGGATATACGTGGTGAATGACATGGGAGCAGATAAGAGCGAACAGTCTTACAATGATTGTGGTTGTTGTTGCTGTTGTTGTTGCTCTTGGTGCTGTTGTTGGTGTTGGTGTTGTTGCTGTTGTTGGTAGTGCTGTCGCCGTTAATGGTTTTGTTGTTGCTGATGTTCATGGTAATAATCGTGTTGGTGTTGTTGTTGTGTTGTTGTTGCTGTTGCTGGTGTTGTGGGTGCTGTTGCTGTTGCTGCTATCATTGCTGTTGCTATTGGTGTTGTTGTGTTTGTTGTTTGTTGTGGGTTGTTGGTTGTTTGTTTGTTGCTTGTTAAGTGGTATAGGTTGTTTGTTAAGTGTTGATTGTTGTTTGTTGTTGTCGTCGTCCCGCTCGAGACACCGCCCGCGACCCACCCGCGACCCACCCGCGACCTACCCACGACCCACCCGCGACCCTCCCGCGACCCTCCCGCGACCCTTTTCGCGACCCACCCGCGACACACCCCGCGAGCCGCCCGCGACGCGCCCGCGACCCACCAGCGACCTACCGCGCGACCCGCCTGCGATCCACCCGCGACCCACCCGAGTTCCACCCGCGACCCACCCGCGACCCACGCGCGATCCTCCCGCGACCTACCCGACCCACCCGCGACCCACCCGCAACCCACACGAAACTCACCCTGCGATCAACCCGCGACTCGCCCGCGACCCACCCGCGACCCACCTTGCGCCCGCCGCTCTTATCCGCAACTGCGGGGTGCTATATATGTATAATATATATATATATATATATATATATATATATATATATTATATATATATGTGTGTGTGTACGTGTCTATGAGCCAGGTAAGCATTTAAAGCTACAGCGCGTGCGTCAGGCATTGATCATTGCGGCATCCACCTGGGCGGCTACTGACAGAAGTACCACCTACAACCAATTGAGCGGGCAGCGCCGCGATTATGGTGATACAAACACCTGATATGTTCACCACTGCAGCAATTCCTACAACCGCCACGTTCGTGTGCAACTGGGCCTCGACGGCACCATGTGCACATGTTGCCGCATCATTTTCAGCCGTGAAGACACCATGCAGAACATACCGAAATGGGGGAACCGTGCAAACAAAACCTGGACGAAAAACTATGGGTTCTAGAGGCGGCGCCCTCGAGAGTTCACGAGCCGACCTCCTCCTCCTCCTCCTCCTCCTCCTCCTCCTCCTGCTCCTCCTCCTCCTGCTCCTCCTCCCCCTCCTCCCCTTCCGAGGGGAGCCTGGGACAACCATTTCCAGACTTGTGCTGTGCGGTCCCCCCTCCGATCCCGGCGGAGCGGGCGCGGAGGGGGAGAAGAGAGGGGGAAGTTTGGGTTCCTCCCTCTGTCATGCTGGAAGAGGAGGAGGAGGAGGAGGAGGAGGAGGAGGAGGAGGAGGAGGAGGGGGAGGAGGAGGAGGAGGGGGAGGAGGAGGAGGAGGAGGAGGAGGAGCTCCCACCCCGCAGGACCCTCTGATGACTGACAGTTACACGCACGCGGTTGCACGCGCGGAAGGAAGGGGAAGGAAGAGGGGTGGGTAGAAGAAGGAGGAAAAAGGGGAGGGAGGGCTCGTTCTACGTACCCCATCCATCACTCCCTCCCTCCCACCCTCCTCCTCCTCCCCTGCCGCGCCCGCTCCACTGGGATCGGAAGGCCTCGGACGAGGC